TGGTATAGAAGTTATTAGAGGCAGAAGAACGTGTATTGTAAGAGTGAATATTAGATATATCTTGAAAAAGATCTTGAATATTGGATGGAGCTGTTCTGTTTTGAACGTCAAACATCAAATTAGCTATAGATTCATAGTGAACGAATTTAGGTGGTAAGATATGATCAGAAAAGTAGATAAAGCGAGGAGCGAGATTCTGCAGCTTTAGATCGTAGCTTGTCAAGATTTATAAGCCTGACCCCATACTGAGGGTATGCATTGGCAGAAAGTGTCGTAATTTTGCAATTAATCCTATGGTTCTGCTTACGTTAACATTGAGTGTCCACAGAAGCCATGACTGAAGACAATAAAGGATGGGTAAAACATGCTGGGAGGGCATGTAATCTCTGCTCTGCAGATGGATGGATAGAATCCTGATCAAACTTCAACTTCCAGGTAAGTCTCGTTTAATCATAAATTCTATCCGTCGTCTACCGCAGAGATTCCATGAGATTGTAAAGAGATGTGGACATGAAAGTCACAAAAAAGGGAAATGATTAACTACAACCTTTATTCTAAACATGTCAATACCAAATAATGGTATACTCATGGTGTACCCCTACCAAAACTTGTGGTTCAAAGTTGTCAGTATCAACAATAACTCAATATAGCATAGACAAGTGCTACTAAGTATAGAGAACAGCCTCTCATGACTTAATCTTACATCAAGAGATTCTAATCATAACAGGTTAGTCACTGGTCATTTACATCATGTAAAATAGCTTCCTCAAAACTCCTATTCTCAGCTGCAACAGGATTGTTGTAAAACTTGCTGAAGACATCAGCACTTTTCCAACTTGCAGCTTTCATGATTGATGTGAGAGGAACATGACAAGCCTTACCTTTGCTGGAAGAAGCCTTCCTGGTACTATGAGCTTGAAACTTGGAGACATCAATGCTGGCCAAGTTCATAACAGTCTTGATCCACCTCGCACAACCTCTGCATGGAACCTGTGAGTCCCCTTAGAAAATTTTCTGTGGCCACGCTGTTCACCCATTGTACTCAGCTGACTACCTCTTGAGAAGTGCATATTGTGGTCAATTGCAGCTAACATAATCCTCATTATGAAATAGGAATTTCTGAAATAGTGAGGCAGATATTAAATTATTATGGTTACAGAATCTGGAAGAGGAGAACCAAAAATATTATCTACAGGGTAATCTCCTCACTCAAATGCCATGCATTTTGGAGCACACTTAGTGAGCATGCTGTTGTAACTCTCCAGGTTACCTGTATGCCTTTAAAAAGAGAGAGGGAAAGTCAGAAAAAATAACAGATATATAGCAAAGCAATTACATGTACCCTGTATTTCATAAATGTAACAACTGTGGTGCCTCATACATCATGTTTCCCTATCTTCAAACGTGATCTTGGTTTAGAGGGATCCATTTATAGTGTTTATGGATACTGAAGGGTGGAAGGAAATTTAACGAAGGCAGAATGGACTTCAAGTTGACTGACTTACATAAAAGACTGATAACTAACCTGAATTGAACATAAAAGGTCAAATTGTTGAGCCACTGTTTGTCAAGGACAACCTTCCTTAACGCTGCTACCACTTTTGAAGATTTCTTTAAGCAATGCTTTTCTCCAGTTCCTGCATCATTAGTTGAATGACTACAAGCTCCTCCAGCCCACTGGTGTTCACAGCAAACATGCTGAAGAACACCACACCAATTTTGCTAGAACAATGAAAATGATACACAATCAATAATCAATACACATATGTATCTGACAAAGCTTGACATCAGAAAAAAATGCAAGAGCTTGGTTAATTAAGCTAACAACTGAATGCATCACTAGGAAAGGTCATACTGCAAAAAAGAAAAAAAGAGTACAGAAAAGCTGAAAAGAAAAACACCACTGTTTCTTACCTTCAGTTTGTCAACACTTCCCTCGCAACTTTGACAACAGAACCAGAAGTGGTTGACAATGTCATCAATCCTCTCTTTAAGTGGTTCACAATCCTTAACTCATGCTGCCTGTCAAGGAAAGCATGATATTTGCTTAACATATTTGGTTAAAGAAACAAAATAAGGCTAAGTAATAGCATGGAAGAGAAATAAAACTGTTATTCTTGTTTAAAGTTAGCCATAACGGAATCATTCTTGATGATACTGCCCATGTAAACAAGCAATGTTCACTCAACTATACTGGTGTAGGCAACGTTTTTTGTACTTTGACAATGTACCTGAATGGAACACCATGTTTAAATAACAAGTTGCTTACTTATTTACTTACTAGCATGTCACTTGTATGCATATGTACATGCATTTGATAATGTTCACAACAAATGCCCGGAGAGATTGAAACAATTTAATAATGCAAAGCATATGATTGTGGTTTATACTGTCGTGAAAAAGATTCTGATAACCTTTCACAAAAGCACAAATAGAGAACCTTAGTGATCAGGTCAATAAGATGCATGGATATAGCAATATCATCATACTGTTCATCTCACCCACAAGTTTGGTAATAGTTGATGAAGCATCAGTTGTAAGCTCACTGATGGGAAGAATATTCACCATCTTCTCAAGAAATCACAGCAATCCTTCTTTTTCTATGACCACAGAATTGCCACCTGTCTCCCTTTTGTCGACTACTGCCATATCTAAAACAACTTTCGTTGAATTTTCCATTAAAGTGTATACACAGTATCTTGCTGAATGCCCGGGGGAATCATTCCTACCAGCTCCACACAAACACAGATCCCCATATTTCTCAAGGATACCAACAACAATTGAATTCATTTTGTTCCACATCTCCTTAAACACAGGGGCTGCACAATGTTTCTGTAACCCTGCAAATGTGTTGCTGCTAATAATGTTGAGACTAGGAGCCTTGGACATAAAGGCAAACTTGCTGTAGCTGTTGCCCGAAATAATTGCAGCTGCTGAAAAGGAATCATTAAGGAAAAATTAAACATTGTTTTTCACTCCCAAAACCTCTGACGAGACCCATTTCTGAGAGTGATTGTTTTTGCACTGCCAGATTACCTCTACTCTGCATCCACAAGTTCTGACATCCTGTTTGAAAAAAAGGCCCTTGCCACAGACTACACATTTTTCACTAGATAGCTCTATTAGCTTTTTCCACAGAGACCATGACTCTCTTGAATGCAAAGGTTGGTATCTCTTAAGAATATCTGTGGAGGTAAGTTACTGAAAAGCACTATTCAACTTTTTGCAAATTTCAGCTGATTTGCTAGACTCTCCTTGCTGCATTTCAACATCCTGTACAAGAAGCTCATGACCAACACCAAGAGCTTCAGCCCGTCCAGAACTCTGACTGGCATCATCATCACCACTGAAAGGGTCAATCATTGAAAGGAGTCTCAAATACAAAAGCCCTTGTGTTTATAAGTGTGCCTGCACACTTCATCAGGAGAGACCTCCTTCTTCAAAACTTATGAAACCATTGCAACTTGCATAGATACAAATACAACATGATCTATAGAGAATGTTGCATTTAGAATGATACCTTTGCTCCAAATGAGGAAAATGATGATTGTCATAACAAGAAACCACATGTACAACTTCTTCTGAAACATCATCTTCAGACAGGCTGTTAAAATCAACATCTCTGCCACCCAGGCATAACAAGAGAGAACGGATGGCCAGTGAAGCTCCTTTTGTTTTGGTCAAACAACTCCTTTCTGGTTTGCAATTGGCTTGGTTGATTGCAGCTGTCAAGAGTTTCCCGTGTCACATCCACAAAACTTGATGCATGCTTCTATGAACTGGAGTAGAAATTAATGGAACTTCCACTAGAAAAGAAAAGTAAAGAGATGTATAATACCTGCTCACTAACAAAGCTGGACAAATTATGTGACACATGGTCTCTGCATTAGTAACATGCCTACCAGAAACATTTTCATGAGAAAACAATAAATCCATCTCTTCAAATTCATGGCCAGTGTTGATGCTCGTTCTAAAATGTCACAAGGAAAACAGTAGTCAATTTTTGATGGAGTGAGCTCGTCATTAATAAAAATGCCATCATCCAGCATGACTTTAAAAAACCTCACTTTTGATGCAAGAGAAATTCTGCAAACTCACTATTCAATTTTTCTGCAAACCCACTACTTTGTTTCCTGTCTCTCCATCGATTAAATACGGATTCTCTCAGACCTACCGTCTTCAGTGAGCCAGGTAATTTTGGTCTTCCAGCATGAAGTCAGCTTGCAGCGGCCGCCATATTGTTAGAAACCTTTCACTTCGAAGGGCACAATCTCCAAATTTAAAATACTTTGAGAAAACTCTTAAATGATGAACGGCGAGTGTATTTACCACAAAAAAATTGACTAAATGACTCGGATGGCTCTTGACAAAGACAATTTTAGAAAGTTTCTGGAATTTTCTGTTACGCGAAATTGTTTTGCAGCTCGCATTGCATCAAGGTTGGAAATAGGCCGTTAAGGGGCCAGAATGTAGGCACAAGATGTTTAACCTCTGGGTCATCTTCTTCCAATTCTGCACCACACAGAGGGGACCTTTCCCATTCAGATTTCTATTTCACCAGAAACACCAGCCCCTTTATCTAGTGGTCATTCTTGATGAAGGACTCTGCAGTTGCTCCCTGTGAAGCATCATCTGCAGGATTAGAATTTGACTCTATGTATTTCCACTGTGAGGGACTGGAATCCTCTCTAATGAAGGCGACACAGTTGGCGACATAAGTGTGGAGGCGCTTGGATTTGTTTCAATTGTAGCATAACACAGTCATGCTATCAGACCAGAAAGTGATTGCATTGATTGAAATCTCCAACTCCTTCTTCAATACATTTTTTAAACGGATGGACACCGTAGCGCCTGCTCACTCTATATGTGGGATAGATAGAGTGGCATCCATAAAATCACCACATGTAGGGCTTCAGGTATGTTTGCTCCAACTAATGGATCCACTTCCAAATTCAACTCTGCTGGGAATACATAGCCTTGAGGGTTGCATTGCTCCACATCCTCTTGTTTCAGGATCTCGTTCTTCACTACAGGCATAGAAGGTCTCGTCTAGATTGGTCACTCTCATATCCATTGCAGTTATCTATGGTGGGTAGCCTGAGTCTCATTTCCTTGCCACTGAATCTGAGATGTTTCAACAGGCTAGCTGAGCAAAAGGTGGCATTAGGTCTACTATTCAACCAGGCATAAGTCTCCACGGAAAGAGCACTTCCTTTAACTATTAACTATTATTATTTAACTATTCAACAAATACCTGATATAATTAGTCCACTCCTCTCTAAATCAGGCTTTTCTGCTTTTGTCAGTATTTTCTCTCCCCATTTCAAGTAGCATAACATCCTTTGAAACTATCTCAGATGCCAACAGTCGATCAGCAGAGCACTTTAAATTCTAAACAATTGGATACAGCTGTGAGGTAGAATTAGTTGTTGTAAACTAATTTAATCGATAAAACAAACCCTCTATTGCTTACACAATTATTTTGACTGAAGAACAGTTCACTCAAACCTTTTTGTCCAAATTGATTTCCCTTTACATTTGTTTATTTATTTATTACAATCTATGGTCAAAAAGGCCAAAGGACAATCTGCAAAGGAGTTCTAAACCCCATATAAAAACAGGTCACCTATGAACTAATATAAATACACTGAAGATAATAAATTCAAGAAATGCATTTATGAAAAGGAAAAATACTTTAGAATCACTAATAAATTTCTTAACTCTTGACTTAAAAATATTTACATCATCAGAACAAAAACAGATCACCTATGGACTAATATAAATACACTGAAGATAATAAATTTAAGAAATGCATTTATGAAAAGGAAAATTACTTAAGAATCACTAATAAATTTCTTAACTCTAGACTTGAAAATATTTACATTATCAGAATGACGAATATCGAAAGGTAATTGATTCCACATGTCAATTATTCAATGGAAAAAACTATACTTAAAGACAAT